TCTCTCCGGTTTCTGCTCACCCAAAGCCCCAGTTCCAGTCCCCATCCCATCTCTCTTACACGGGATGGAGGCACCGCAGCAGCTCCCATCACCAGTTCCCGTGTCTCCAGACCAATCCCAACCCCAAAACACGCCTTGGGCCTGATGCTGGTCCCCGTGGAGGGTTCCCAGCTGCTGCGATGTGAAGGATGAGAAGGAGCCAGTGGGGCAATGGCAGCACCAGAAGGCTCAGCACCCAAAGGTGCAGGTGATGGGCAGGATGCGGGTCCTCAGCAACAGGCAGGGCAATGGTACCACAGGAGTCAATTCAAAAGGGGGAAAAAACCACCCTGAGAGACCAGGATCACCTTTATTGTTAATGGCTGCTCATTGCTGTGGCCAAACCAAATCCATGGGTTTGGGCTGCTTTATCCCCACCTCCTGCCCCACTTTGGCTTGATGCTTCCCTCCTTGCAGCCCCTCAGCATCACTGATCCCAGTGCCCAGATTTTGGGGTGAATTAGCCCCATCCTGGGTTCCCCAAGCTCTGCCCCCTTCCCAGCCCCTTCCCTGTCCCCCCACCGCAGCGGCAGGGCTGGGGTTTAATCACTTTCTGCATGGTCATTCAGGGAAGTGCCCCCCAGCTGCACCCCGCGGAGCCACCCGGAGCTGGTGCAGGGACACGGGGAAACCCACCGGGAACGGCACCTCCCTATGGGGAGCATCCGGCCCCACCGGAGCCTCTTCCCAGCGCTGCCCAAAGCTGCTTCGCTCCGGCTGCTGGGATGGGTGCGGGTGCGGAGCTGCTGCGCTGCCCCGGCCCGGGCTGCGAGCTGGGGATGCTCAGCCCTCAACGTCCCCTCTTGCCTTGGCACCTCCTTGGGCCAGCAGGAAGGTGAAGCCCAAAGCACATGGGAAGGGGGGGGTCCCTGTGGCCCCCGGCGCTCTCTGTCCTCGTAGGGACCACCCTGACCCGTGTCCTGGGGCTCCTTCTGAAGGGGTGGGATGGGGACAGGCGAGAGCGGTGGCAGCGCTGGGACATGGAGAGCGTGGTCCCTGTTCAGCCCTGACCCTGGCTCCTGACTGCAGCCACCTCAGCTTTTGGTGCGGCAACACAGCAGCGCTGGTGTGCTCCCAGTGCTCCCAATGCTCCCAGTGCTCCCAATGCTCCCAGTGCTCCCGGGGCTCCTGGTGCACCAAGACCTCCCAATGCTCCCGATGCTCCCAGTGCTCCCGGTGCTCCCAGGTGCTCCCGGGACTTCCAGTGCTCCTAGTGCTGCTCCCAGTGCTCCTGGTGCTGCTCCCAGTGCTCCTGGTGCACCAAGACTTCCCAGTGCTTCCAGTGCACCTGGTGCTCCCAGTGCTCCCAATAATCCCAGTGCTCCCGGCGCTCTGAGACTTCCCAGTGCTCCCAGTATCCCAAGACCTCCCAGGGCTCCCGGGGCTCCTGGTGCACCAAGACCTCCCGATGCTCCCAGTGCTCCCGGTGCTCCCAGGCACTCCCGGGGCTCCCAGTGCTCCCGGTGCTCTCAGGGCTCCCAGTGCTCCTGGTGCACCAAGACTTCCCAGTGCTTCCAGTGCACCTGGTGCTCCCAATAATCCCAGTGCTCCCGGTGCTCCTGATGCCCTGAGACTTCCCAGTGCTCCCTGTATCCCAAGACCTCCCAGGGCTCCCGGGGCTCCTGGTGCACCAAGACCTCCCGATGCTCCCAGTGCTCCCGGTGCTCCCAGGTACTCCCGGGGCTCCCAGTGCTCCTGGTGCTCTCAGGGCTCCGAGTGCTCCTGGTGCTCCCAGTGCTCCTGGTGCACCAAGACTTCCCAGTGCTTCCAGTGCACCTGGTGCTCCCAGTGCTCCTGGTGCACCAAGACTTCCCAGTGCTTCCAGTGCACCTGGTGCTCCCAATAATCCCAGTGCTCCCGGTGCTCCTGATGCCCTGAGACTTCCCAGTGCTCCCAGTATCCCAAGACCTCCCAGTGCTCCCAGTGCCCCCCCAGACCTCTCATCAGGGTTCTCACCGCACACCCCGGCTGTAGGGGGGGGGGGTACCAGGGATCTGCACCCGAGCCCCCCCCGCAGGGACCTGCGTGGGGCAGTGCCCGGGGGGGGGGGGTGGGGGGTGTCTGTGTGTGCGCGGGGACCCGGGGAAGGGGGGGGGGGGCGGCTGCCGGTGCCCCCGGTGCCCCCCCGCCGCTGCGGCGGCCACTACGGGCGGGCGCTCCCGGGCTGCGGTGGCGCACGGCGGCGGCGGCGGCTGCGGCTCGTCCCCGGGCAGGTGGGAGGCGGCGGGGACGGGGGGGACCCGGGGGGGGTACGGGGGAACCGGGGGGACCGGGACAGCGGCACCGACCCGGCCCCGGGCACGTCCGGGGATGCGGAGCTCCCCCCCCCCCCCCCCCCCCCCCCCCCCAAGTCTCATTTGGGGGGTACCGGTAACGCACCCCGGGGGGAGCTCTCATGGGGGTCCCCTCATCCCGCTCGCTCCGGGGGTGCCCGTTTGGGGGAATCCCGGGTCCAGCTCCCCCCCCCCGCCCGGCGCAGGGGGCATCTTCAATGGTGCCCGCTTTGGGGGGGTCCTTGCAAACCCCTCCCGGGGCGCTGAGACCCCGCGGGGTCCCTTCCCTCACCCCGGGCAGCGGGGACGGGGCTCAGACCCCCAAGCAGTGAGGGTGGGGGTGGTGCCCCCCAACTGGGGACCCCTGGGTGGGGCGGGAGCCCGCAGATCCTCCCTTGGGCTGCGGGAGCGGGGATGGAGCCATGGGGGGGTCCCAGCCCCTTGTAACTGGGGCGGGGGGGTCCGGCCCTGCTGGGCTGCTCCTCTTGGGGAGTCCTTTTGGCCCTGCGATTCCAAAGGATGCGAGGTTTGGGGCTCCCCTTTCTTTGGGGTCTCCAGGCACTGAAGCCCCCCCCCCCAAGCCCTCCTCTCCCCACACAGGGATCACAACACAGCTGGGGTGGGGCAGTGGGTAAAGGCCCCCCCCAAGCCTCCCAATGTGGGGACCCGGGGACACTGGGCACCCGTCCTGAGCTCCCCAGGGGTGACCCCAATGGGATGGGGTGCACCGGGTCCCCGGGGGTGTGGGGGGAGCCCCGAGCAGAGCCCTGCAGCCCCCAGCCCTGCCTGGGGCTCCGGTGCCCACCGGAGGCATCAAATATTAACGGAGGCAGTGGAGGAGCTGAAAATAACCCTCCCTCCAAGGGAGCTGACCCAGATCCGGCCAGCCCCAAAGCCGGGCTGGCCTCAGAGCCCAAACCAGCGCCGAATCCGGCCCCCTCCCCTCCTGCTGGGGGCTCTCTATCACCTGTGTACGGTGCTGATGGGCTATAGGGGCTTATTACGCAAACACAAAGGGGTTGGCGCTGGGTGGTCCCTGGGGCTGGCCCTGAGGGCTCAGAGGGGATGGAAGGGGCCCCATCGGTGTCTGGGGGCTACCAGGGAGCTCTGCCCCATCCCTCTCCCCTCCTGTAGCACAGAGGGACCCCCCCCAGCACCGGGCCCAGCACAATGGGGAAGCAGAACAGCAAACTGCGTCCTGAGATGCTGCAGGACCTGCGGGAAAACACCGAGTTCTCGGACCTGGAGCTGCAGGGCTGGTACAAGGGGTTCCTGAAGGATTGTCCCTCCGGGATCCTCAACGTGGAAGAGTTCAAGAAGATCTACGCCAACTTCTTCCCCTACGGCGACGCCTCCAAGTTCGCCGAGCACGTCTTCCGCACCTTCGACACCAACGGCGACGGCACCATCGACTTCCGAGAGTTCATCATCGCGCTGAGCGTCACCTCCCGCGGGAAGCTGGAGCAGAAGCTCATGTGGGCCTTCAGCATGTACGACCTGGACGGCAACGGCTACATCAGCCGGGAGGAGATGCTGGAGATCGTGCAGGTACCGAGCCCCTGAGCCCCCTCGCTGCGGCCATCCCCTCGCAGGGTGCAAGCTGGGGACGTCCCCTGTGTGCCAGCCCTGGGGTGGGACGTGGCTTTGGTGGCGGTGCTTGAGCCCATCCCAACCAAAGCTCCCCACGGGGGGACACGGGGAGGGTGTTGAACGCCAGCCCCGTTCCCAGCACAGCGAAGCCCAAAGCTTGGCCCCCTTTCCTGGATGGGTGACAGCAAACACCTCGCTCCCCCCCATCCCTCCTCCCCACGTCCCGCTCGCAGGCCATCTACAAAATGGTCTCGTCCGTGATGACCATGCCCGAAGATGAATCCACTCCAGAGAAAAGAACGGAAAAGATCTTCCGCCAGATGGATACCAACAACGACGGTAAATGAGGGCTGGAGGGATTAAGGGAAAGGTCTCGCTGCTAAAGCCGGGGGTCTTAGACCGAGCTGCACGCACGCTGATTAAATGGCTCACTGGGGTGTGTGGGGGGGGGAGCCCCGGCAGCCGGAGGGGCTCAGCAGACCCCAGGGTGCTCATCCCGGGTGCTGGGAGGGCTCCAATGCCGGTTGTGCCCCCGGGCTGCGGTGATGGGCGCCGGGCTGAGCCTTGTCCCCGCCCCACAGGAAAGCTTTCTCTGGAGGAGTTCATCAAAGGTGCCAAGAGCGACCCGTCCATCGTGCGCCTGCTGCAGTGCGACCCCAGCGGCGCCGCGCAGTTCTGAGCCCCACGGAAACCCCCCCACAGCCCCACACCGCCCCCCAACCTGCAGCTGGTCACTGCCACGGGCCCCTGCCCGGCCCCTGTGGTCTCCCCCCACTTCCATGCCCCATAGGGAGAGAGCTGGAGCCTGGCCGAGGCTGCAGCAAGGGGGGGACCAAGGGGGATGGTCCCCATGGCCAAGCGGCTCCCACACTGGGTCAGCGTGGGGAAGGATGGAGCAGGGTCTGCCCTAGGCAAGGAAGGTCCCCCCAGCACTGGGGACATGAACCCAGATTCATGGTGAAGCCACCGCTGCATCCCTGGCACGAGGACAAAGACACAGGGACTTGGAGACCCCCAGCACTCCCCATGCATGCAGACATGGCCATGGGGCTGAGCCAGCCCCTTCCCCACAGCCAGCACACGGGCAGGGGCCACGGGGATGGGGACACACTCATTGTCTTTTAATACCTACAGAATAAAGTTTGTGTCAGTGCAGTCAGTGGTGGGAAAGAGGCATCAATGGGGAATGGGTATCCCTGAAGCATCTGGATCCAGCCCAGTTGCCTGCTTCAGTGCAGCCCCAGGTGAGCCGAGGCCATGGGGATGGGCTCATGGGTCTTGGCTGGTGGCATCTAAAGGACACATCCACCCAGGAGCTGGGTTGAGGAACAGTGGGGTCCTGCTGTGGGGCTGTGAAGGCACTGGGGCAGGGCAAGGCTGCCAGGGCACAGCCATGGGGTTGCTCAGAGCCAGGCAGCACCCACACTGTGCAGCCTCAGCAAGCCCAGGCACTACATGGGGTCAGGGCTCTGCCCAGGGGCTGCCTGCAGGGAGCCCAACAAAGCAGAGAGGATGAGAATGAGTGCGAGCTCTATCCCAGAGCCCCTGAGCCCAGCCGGGTCCATGCAAGCCCTGCTCAGGGCTGAGCCCAGGACCAGCAGTCACCTCCCTCCGGTGCATCCCGTGGCAGCAGTGGCAGAGGAGGAAGAGGTAAGAGGGTGAGCAGGAGGCAGCGGATGCTGAAGACAATCTCCATGGAGCTGAGCAGGAGGGAGAAGGCCCAGAGGGACAGCGTGGAGCTCTGTGGGGACAAGCAAAGAAGTGGTAAATGCCCCATCCCTGGCAGTGTTCAAGGCCAGGCTGCACACGGGGGCTTGGAGCAAGCTGCTCCAGTGGAAGGTGTCCCTGCCCTTGGAACTGGATGAGCTTTAAGGTCCCTTCCAACCCAACCCAGGCTGGGGTTCTGTGACACAGGGCATCAATTCCCCACCCGTCCTCCCCATCCCCAATGCAAACCCCCCCTGTGGACTCCCACAGACACGGGTGGGATCGAAGGGGCACTCACGGGAGACCAGGGTGAAGGTGACATCGGCGTCAGTGCAGGGGGACAGCAGCACCCGGCTGCGGCTGCTCAGGACCAGCACAATGATGGATGGGCAGGGCGGGCAGGGCAGGCAGCTGGTGGTGCTCAGGGTGAAAACCACCCCCTTCTGCAGGAGGGGAGGGAAGCGGCAGCGCAGGGAGGAACCTTTCAGACCTCTGCCTCTGCAGTGGGTTCCAAAGGCCTTTGAGCAATAAAGGCACTGAGCAGACAGGAGGTGAGCAGCATGAAGGCAGGGGTGGTTTTCAGGGTTACTTGAGAACTCCCTCAGCTTGTGAAGTGTAGGACCAGATGGAGAAGAGACCTTCCTCAAATAAACTTGTGCTGCTGTTTATCCTGCTTATTCCTTAAAACCATCTGTCCGAGATACAAATAAAAGACTGAACCCTGGGCACAGATTGATCAAGTAACAATTGGAGTCACAAATCAAACACCAGGTTCGAGTTACCTGGTGACCACCACTGAAAACCTGCACTGAATTCACAGACGAAAAGCATTTCTTTTAATAGGAATACCCAAGGTCTCTTACCAGCAAGAAGAGCAATCCTGCTTCCCAAATCCCTGTCTCAGAGATACTGGAGCTCAGGGCTGTGGCATCAGTTCTACTATATTGCCCTGATACAGGACATGTAATGGTAATCCCCTGTAATGGCAGAGGGTGTTAAGTTACCTGGCACATCACCACAGCACTGTGAGCATCAGTCAAACGTCAGCAAAGGGCTCCCTGCTGTACCTGTATGAACTAAAGACAGCAGCCCTTTATAAAGAGAAGGCAGCACCTAGGTGTGCACAGATTCATCACCGATATGAAGCTATTACTGGTTACCCAAAGGTTCAGGTCAGGGAGCCCACACACTGAAGGAATCTGGCAATTTGCAAAGTGATCCTGCCACCGAATGCAGCATTTTCCACAGCTCCTGTCTGCTCCTGCAGGCAATTGTCTTAAATGAACTCGTGTTCCCTACGGACACAGCCTAAAGGAAAGATAAGCCCAGAAGCAGCGAGAGGCAGCACAGAGCAACACAAAACCCATGAAGCCTCCTGGGAAAGGGAAAGGTAACACAGAATCAGTGCTTTTTCCATGCGAGGCATCTTTGTACCTGCTGGGCAGAGAACTCGGACACAAATCCTGCTTCCTGAAGTTGGATTCTTCCATCTCCTGGCAAGTTTTCTGCTGTCATTTCAGTTGTACTTTACTGATTTACCTTGGCTCAGCTATGAGAAGTGAACTGAGGAGTATAAGAGAAGATACTGTGTGTTTCAAGCTACAGTCCAGAATCGTAGGCTGGATAGCACAGGATTGTCTGAAACTCACCGAGTTTGTTTTATTTCCAGTCCACACATACATACAGTGGATACAATAAAATGTAATAACAAAAGAGCCTGAAGAATCACATCCAGGTACAATCTCATGAAAGATTAAGAGGCTATGAACGAAGATGCAATGTGAATTAGGATCCTGAGGGTAACTCCTCCAGTTTCTATACTGGGCATGACAGGCTATGGTATGGAATATCCCTTTGGCTAGTGAGGGTGCCCTGTCTCTGCTTCCTCCCGACTTCTTGTGCACCTCCTCATTGGCAGAGCATGGGACTCAAAAGTCCTTGATCGGGGTGAAAGCCACCGAACAACTAAAGCATTGGTGTGTTATCAGCGTTGTTCTCAGAGTAAAGGCAGCGCTGCACCTGATCCTAGGAAGAGAACTGACTCTGCTGCAGCTGAAACCAGGGCAAAGGCAGAGAGACAAGCACAGCGGCAGGGCGCAGGATGCCGGGGCAGGAGCCTCCGAGGCGCCTGAGGTTCATTACGGGAGAATGAAGCGCACCGGGGGCTCCTGATCGGGCTCGTGGCCGCAGACCTCACCCCTGCAGCACTGGGCGGCGGCCACGAGCACCCTGGGCCTGAACGTGCCCCGGGAGGCAGCAGCGAGCGCACGGCCCCGGCCCGCAGGGACAACGGGAGCGCCCCGGTTCCTGCGCGGAGGCACGGGCTGCAGTACCCAGCTCTGGCCACAGGACGGCAGCAGCGAGCGGCGCCCGGAGCCACCAGCGCAGTACCGAGGTTCGGCCACAGCATCCTAGGATCAACGAGGTTGGAAAAGGCATTTAAGATCATTAAATTCAACCATTACCCCAGCATTGCCGAGGCCACCACTAACCCATGGCATTGAGGGCATCAAATACACGGTTTGTGAACACTTCCAGGCACGGTGATTCCACCACTGCCTTGGCAGCCTGGCCCAATGCCTGGGGAGCCTCTCCAAGGGTTAATGCCCTTCCACGTACAGAAGCAGCCTCCATTCTTCATGGGCAGAGCAGTGGTACAGACACTTCAATGAAATATTATTGAGGACAAAGAATTCTGATGAATATTTGACAGTTTAAGCAAAAGCATCAAGTCCAGAAGGAAACAGGGAGGAATGATCACAGTTTGACACCCTGCTACATCCCCGGTCCCAGATGCTGGTTGGGGTCACACTTTATAGTGGAGTCTGAGGAAGTGGATCTTAGCCAGGAGATGCTGCAAGCCCCTGCTCCCACAGCTGAAGAGCTACGACAGAAAGACGGTGCTGGGCATCTTCTGCACATGGTGAGTTCCGCAATGGTGTCACCTGCATTGCTCTCACTCCTCGCTTTCCCACCTAAAACTCCATCTGTGTACTCTATGATCTCAGGTGTATTATTCAGATGTCTTTTTGCAAAGGAAAAGCAGGACAGTCCGGTCACGAGGTGAAAGATGAGCTCCCCTCAGTCAAACCAATGGTGAGTGCATTGTTAAAGGCCTGTCACATCTCTCACTCTGGAACAGCACTTCCCTGGGTAGGGCTGCTCTGCTGACAGGCTTTTACCTGAACCTAAAGGGAGGCTTGCATCTCAAATGACTCCCCATTTACTCTTACTCACCCTCTAAAACACCCCTCCTCCATGCCCTGATGGACTCCTAATTCCTGCCCCACTTCAGTGACAGTTTCCTGACCAACCATCACAAAGTCTGTCTTGTAGAGAAAGCAAGGATCAGTCGTGTTGCTGAGGACTGCCCCTTCCAATAAAGGGCTTGAGTAGTAACATTTGCCAAGTTAGAGAATAGGAGGACGGTCACACTCATCTAGGCAGAAGCTCAGGTTCAAAGCTTGTCACCCAGGGCACCAAATCCAGCCACTTCAAATGGGTTTAGTCCTTGACACTTCATGTCTGTGCCCCTTCACAGACTATTGCCCACCACATCAGAGTCCTCCCCTCTCTCAGAGCTTGTCAGAAGATGCTAGAAGATGGAGAGTCTGTGGTCAAAGACAGTACAGCTACAAACAACCAGGGGCTGCAGTCAGGTTTGTGGGTATCTTTCTCAGGAAGAAGTGTGGGTAGTATAATTCTAGAGGAATGAGCATGGAACAAAAGGAAGTACTGGTCCTCGGGCAGAACAGAAGGTACAAGGGCAGACTGCACATGTACAGACAGAGGGTCACAGAGTGAGAACAGAAAAAGTGTGAGCAGAGACCATGCTTAGACAAAAGAGAAACAAACTGCAGAAAGAGGAAGGTGAGAAGAGCTGGATATTTGGAAAAGCAGCAAAAGCAAAGTGATTTCCAGAAGCACAACAATGGCAGCTGCAGCATCACCTCAGCAACCCAGCAGAAATGAAGGCAAGAGGTGCACAGAGTGTGCCTCCATGCAGCATACAGATGCCAAGAGATCAGATCCTTCAGCTAGCTTCCTGCCTGGGCAACTCTTATTTCTACAGAAACAAATACAAGTCATTTTTAAACTTACAAATACCCAATTCTGATGTTTTCTTTTGCTGAAGGTATTTAATAACCCGGTATGCTTAGCACACTCTTAGTAATACCAGCTTGTTTTCTAGAACAGGATGCATATAGAGTAGCAGCCAATGGACATTTTGGAGGGGGGAAAACAGTTGCATCAAATTCTCAAATGCCAGGTAAGAATAGAATTGGTCAATAAATATTGTTCTTCAAAACAAAACAGTAAAAAAAGCACCCACAGAATTATTAATAATAATAATTCTACACTAAGCTCCTAGGTGTAGGTACCAGCTGCCCTTGTGCAGTTACCAAATTGTAAATGCACGTACAGGTAGAAAACAAAACTCAACAAAAAACCCCAAACAAACGCACCTAAAAAATCCTCCAGCTACAAGCTTGACTTTCAGAAAGTATTTACAGAGCCAACGAAGCCCCTGACCTGGTAGCACAGAACTGTGTGCACCGACAGTGCAAAGAGCACCAAGAGATTCTGCCGAGCCAAAGTCCTTGTAAGGCCATGCTAATGGAAGTGTTTCACACAGCTCCTGGCTGAGCTGTTGCCGCAGGCACTGCTGCAGACCGCGGGAGCATCTTCATCCCAAAGAGTCCCCAGCAGCAGCACTGGGGTCTTGTCCCTCCTCTTCCGACACCTTCCACTTCCCTTACATGCCGGCAGCTTGCTGGGGGGGGACGCCCGGCGTAGGCTGGCGAGGCAAAGTGTACATGGCCCCGAGAAACTGGTCTGCGATGCGGCCGGCTTCCCTCAGCCCGCTCAGCAGAGCCCCGTGAACGGTGGCGGGGTAGTTGCGAATTGTGTGCTCCCCCGCAAAAAACAGGCGAGGAATCGGCTGGGGAAGCAGAGAACAAACACCGCTGTTAGGGCCTGCTCATGCTCCCCCAGAGCCTGCAGCAAACACACCTGAAGAAAACGTTAGAAGTCCTCTAGATAAAATAAAGGAGAAAAACTTCACCTCTTACAGGCTGCGGAGAAGAATTTTATCCACAGCTACATTTATTAGTGACTTACAGCACTAGAAAAGACCCTAAATAAAGCCAGAGCTGCACTCTGCTGGTGCTGTCAGAATGGCTACTGCTCTCAAAACCTCATCCTTTCAAAGTGAACTGGACACGACTTAATGCCTCGTTGGGTTCACTCCCACTCTGGGAGACACCTTTTGGTTCCTGTTCTTCTCACTCGGGCCTTCACGCTTTCAAATCACTACAACTCACTTAAATATGGGCATGGGACAACTTAAACACGGCGTATGAACACAATAAATGCATGGCATTGTAATACTCTGTTCAGATATTGCCAAATTGACTTGGAGTAAAACAATCCTTTTTCTAGTAAAGAAATTACACCAAACCTGGGCAGGCAGAAATCACGGGTGGAAAACGGAATCATTGTACAGGTTCTAATCATCATCAAAAGGCGCAGGTAACCTAAACCTGTGCTTCGAGAGGGGTGTGAATCACGTGGAAAAATCCCCCTGGTTGAGGTCTTACTGAGGAGAACAGAGACGTCTCTCACCTGCGGAGCACCCGGAATGGCTGGTCCTGGAGTAATCGGCTGAGCCATCAAATCATAGTCATTGCCAGAGGACCCGGCTGCGACATAGGAGTAGGAGCCCCGGGCCCACGGGTCAGCGCGCCAGCGGGACACCACCGTTTCCTTAGGCTGAGACAAGACAGAAACCTCAGTTGCTGCCACAGGGCAAGGCCTAAGGATCTTGCAAAACACAAACCACACAAACTGCAAGAATAAAGGACACCAAGCCCTCAGGCTAACATTAATGGTGGCT